CAATTTTTTGTGTGAGTATGTTTTAAATTGTATGGCATTGAAAAATAGAGCAATTAATATAAATTTGTAAAAGGACATGTTAAAACATGTTTCGTTAATGAAACAAATTTTTATAACAATAATAAATAACATGTTAAAAATTAAATGTTTATTGGAGGCAGATAATATTGTATGAGAACTTCATTAAGAAGTTTAAAAGTCAACTGAAAATCATAATGCCTAAAATGGGTTAAATATAGAAGAATTTCATCAGGAGACACCTTGCAGGGGAACAAGGATACAAATCAAAGACATGATTATGGACATGACATTCTTCTCTGTCAGGGAAGAGCGTATCTACCAGGCATGTTGGGTAATGATTACACAAAGCAATTCATTACATGGTCAATTACAATTATTTGTAATGTGAAATTGAGGAATAACCAATTACAAATACTTGTAATTGAAGTTTTTCCAATTACAATTATTTGTAATGTGTAATTGACCAATAACCAATTACAATTACTTGTAATTATAATTGGAGTTTTGCCAATTACTTGTAATTATAATTGAAGATTCCAATTAAAATTACTTATAATTGTCCTTAAGGTATTACTAATTACAAATTACATGTATATTATAAGGAACAAAATTCACAATTACAAGTAATTGCAATTGGAAATTCTTCAATTACAATTACAAGTAATTTAATTGGCAAAACTTCAATTACCATTACAAGTAATTGTAATTGGCAAAACTTCAAACACAATTACAAATAATTGTAATTGGAAAAACTTCAATTACAATTATAAGTAATTGTAATTGGTAAACCTACAAGTACAATTACTTCAAATGTAATTGTAATTGAAAATGTAGTCATTATCCCCCAACTACTAACACGACTAACTGCCAGCTCATAGTTCGCCGTATCCTTGAATTGGGTTTAAACGATAGGCATCAAGTTACTACCCGAATAACTGCACCATTAAACAGGCTGGGGCGTCCTGTATTTCGAGGTACCAGATTAACGATTCTGGTGAAACTTCATAGTAAAGACTACTTTTAGTTGGGTCATAGAAAACCCAGTCCAGGTCACACTGCAACAAACACAACATTCATACAATCAGTAAATGTCCAACTAACTTCAGATACAAAGTTATCAGATTAACGTGATCACCAGTCATAACGAACTTATCTCAAGAAGGTATTTTTCAGTTACAGGTTGAGCAAGAGACGATACACCACTGCCCCATTGTGACTTACAAAGAACACTTAGATGACAAATGTTGAACACTCGAGCTATCTAATCTCTGATCACTGCAATTCCATTGTGGAATGTTCTGTAATCTTCAGACCATATCTGAAGCCTTACTCGACAACATACAAACAACTACACTACTTCGATGGCTGCTGTTGATTCAGCAACATCTGGAGAAACACAGTATGATTTCCATTACACACAAAGGAAACACTGAGCTAGATCTAGCATGAAACATACCTGAAAGAAGGGAACTTCATAACACAAGGACATCAAACAGACCTTTCATCCAACAAATTCATTCGAAACACTATTCACACCCATCAAACCCGTTCATGCACCTTTCATTCACTTTGTAATGTCAACTAATTACCAAGATATAGTGTCTCGAATTACTTTGATTTGGTGTTCTGTTGAGTCGGCAACAGCACCGGAATCTTATCCCGAAATAAAAATTTCACCTGCATCAGTCTTTAAACGCGATTTCGGATTTACCCACAGCCACCTTAAAAGGAGCTCACCAATATCCAGAACACGAGAATGACCTACATGCAACAGGTTCCGTGATACCATTACTCCCTTAGTTGATAGTACCGACAAACTTATGTACTGTTACCACCACTACTCCTCGGAAGTACAATAATACTAAGAAACTACAGTATATTTTATTTTTAATTGAAAACTGAAGATATTACAGATTTCATTCTTAACTACAACCGATTTTAGTTTTTTTTAAATAAAATCCAATTTTTTATAGAAAAAGTTTAATGTTGTGCTTTTTAAGGGAAATTCAGGTTTATTATTAAAAATCGATTAGAGGCGTGGCATCTAGTCATGATCAGCTATAGCATATTACTATAAGTCCTTAAAAGGATATCACTGTGTCAAATTTAAATTGGTCCAATAGTTTTCGCATGAAAGTGTAAAAAATTATCTCATTTGTATAACTATTTATTACTTAAAATCGAGAACAGCTTTCTGTTACAAAAAAAAATCGTTTACAATCGATAAATATGCAATAGTTTATAACATGTCTTGTTGCGGCAAACACATTATCAAGAATATTTTTTCCAGTCATGCAACCTTTTAAAGTGAAAAAAAAACCGGAGGAAAAAGTTTTCTCTTTAAGTTTTTTTCTCTGCACCCCTACTTTACCATCTTAGTCTGTTGATCTTGTTTAGGTTTTTATATATGATTTTTTTTGCATGCTCCATACATGTAAAGATTTATGTTATTTAATTTGTTGTTTTTTATAAGATTTATTTTTTCTTCTTCTTCTCGCAGCAATTGGTTCCTTGTACAGAAATATACATATTGGCTTGAAAATTTTATACCCTTCACGAGAAGTATAAAGTTTATTATAACGTTTGTAACTTCTTAAAATTTATATTTAATGTAAAAAACGTCATATCCGTTTGTTGGGTGAAATCGGAAGATGTCTTAGAGATTTGCAGATACATATTTGATCCGATTTGGTCTGAGATCTTGCACGACTTACCCCAAAATTTTCAGAGTTGCAATTTTATTTAAAATTTCCTGATATTAATGTAGTTAACACTTCTCAAAATCATTAATAATTAAAAAACAATGAATGTTTGTTGTAGTATCTATATACTTCGTTATTGCTGAATTTTTTCATTTTGCTAAAAAAAATTTTCTTCATGATTTAGTACTTTTTGCTTCGTTTTCTTCTTCATCATTTCTGCAATATACACAAACAACTTAAAATAAATATAAACAGATTTGCTGCCATTTTTTTACTCCTGCTATAAATTGAATTGGAAAGTTTTTTTTCCTCCAATTCATTCTACTCGCTTAAAGAGTTCTGTTCTTCTCTGTATACCCTACATCATTATATGGGTGGAGAGAGGTATTATAAGTTTATGCTGATGTTTGTAAGACTCAAAAATAAATGTTGTCAAAGTTCCTTTTAAAAAATATATATTCTGAATTCCTATTGACATCGAAGACGATTAAGCTATGTCCGTCTGTCTGTCCGCATGTTAGTAAATTCGTTGAAATCAATATTTTGAAGACCCCATATATCTCCGGGATATTCTTTATTAATTAATAACGAAGATATGAGCAAAATCCCGAAAAAATATAATTTTTATACAACAACAACATAGAGCTTTATGTTATATGTTGTTTTATTTAAAGGTAGAGTCAAGGATGGAAGATTGTGTGTGGTAAAATTTAAAAAAATATATACATATATGGGCAATTTCATGACACTTTTAAAATCGATTTGGATGAAATTTGCACCAATGTTAGTACTATCGGTCAAAAACAAAGCTCTTAAAGGAAATGGTCTAAGCTTTCTTTCTAAAACGTTCATTTTGAAAAAATAGGAGAAAAAGAAGTGCCAAATATTAAAAATTATTTTTTTTTATAGTCCCATTATGGGACTATAAAGCCCTTGCATAAGAGGTGAAAAGTTACACTCATTTGAATAAAACCCTGTATGACCAAAACGTCCAACTTTAATCCTCTCTAAGTCAGTTCTTGACCGATATCCCCTTCAAGGAAATTGTATAAGCTTTCTTTTAAGCAAAAAAAAGAAGGGCCCATTTTGAAAAAAAAAATTAAATTAAAAAAAGTTTTGGAAAAAATGAAGAAATAGCTATCTGACCTCCTTTGGACAATTTTTGCTAGGACCAATAGGTGAAAATTTACACTCATTTGAATATAATCCTGTATGACCAAAAGGTCCAACTTTGACCCCCTCTAAAACCGGCAGTTCTTCACCGATAGAGCTGAATATTTGTGTCTGACCTACTATACAATAGTACTATCCTTAGTGCAAATTTTAAACACCTTAAATTACTTATGATATTAAATCGTGAAGATTTCGATATATAGTTGTATGAAATTATTTTCGTAACTGAATTAATCAATCTACCAATTTCTATAAGGATCGGTATATTCTAAAAACCTCGCTGTAGTAGGGTATCGTAGGGTCAGACAAGATCAATATTATTTTCTTATGTGTTTTTTTTTCTTTCCTCCAGTGTGGTAAAATTTTTCACTTTTAATGGTATGAGTTTTTGTCTGTACATTCGTTTAAATGTGTTCATGAAAAACCCAAATCAAAAAACAAACCAAAGTTGAAAAAAAAAAATCAACAACAAAAATTTTGTTTATTTATGAAAAATAATAATTTTTGTTTTTGCAGTTCATATTTACAAACAATATTGATTTTTTGGCTTGGACTATTTATGTGATTTTTTTTTTCTCATTTCGCTTTTACGTTGAAAATTTTATTTTAAATTTAATAATGAACAAAATAAATCCATTTAAATGTTCGTTATCAAAGGCCACTCACTGAAGCGTGTGTTTTTTTTTTTTTTTTATTTTGGTGAAATTGATGAACAAATTTAACAAATTTTTATGGAATTGATTGACTAATAAAAAACTAAATTTAGTGTATTTATAGAGCAAGCAATGTACATACATACTTAGATACTATGTAAAAAAACACATAATAGTGAGTGTTTTGTTTCCAGAGACTATTTGATATTAAATTTAGTAAAAATTTAAAAAGAAGAAAAACTTAAATTATCGAGTAGCTGAACTGACACATACCAAAGCCTTTAGTGGGAATCGAACCCGAATCCCTCACTCTGACATTTTAAGTCTCATATACGGTCATTATACAAATTCTCAAAAATTTTTTTAAAGTACGACTTTCAAATTATTTTTTTTTTTAAATCACACCCTGTAATATCCATAATTAAATTATTTAAACAAAACAAACACTTACCTTGTATTCGTTTTTCGAATTATTATTGCTGGGAGACACACAAAATATCCAATAAAAAGTGCATTTTTATCTAAAATAAATAAAAACAAAGTAACAAAATAAATTTCATTATTTTAAAGGTATTTAAGTATTAAATTTTAAATATTTTAAATATGTATAGAATAACACGACAAACAATGTAAAACATTTCAATAATAATTCAGTTAAGGATTAAAAAATAAATCTAAAAATGTCAGTACTTAAAGCAAAATTATTAAATTTTGTGGGTTAGTGAAAAGTACTCGAAGAATACATACATATACTTCAAATTTTCTAAATTTTTTTAGGATCATATCATTGAATAACCCTTAGAACCTCTAAATTCTCCTATATCTTAAATAACCAACTAGCATATCTACAATTTTATTGCTTTCGATAAAAAAAGAAGCAAAAAAAATCTAAAGGTTAAAAACTTTCAACTGCAATACAAAAAAACTTTACCCCACCAAAAAATATTTGAATGCAATTCAATTTTTTTCTTTTTGCCACTTAAATCGAATTTTACTTATAACCTTTTTCTTGTTGCACTTAGATTAGTTTGGTACCATTCAATGACCCTTGACATCAGTATATTTTCGGTCTCCCCTCTTAGTATATTTGCAATACGTTCAATTTTGTTGCTGCAACAAAAGAAAACTAATCAACCTAATAACCTTCTTTTTTAGTTTGTTCAGTGTTTTTGTTCCTTTCTCCTTTATCGTTTTTTTTTTTTTGCAGATACATATATAATATATAGTTTTCTGTTTTGTATTTCGAGGATGTGTGTAAAATTGAACATCATCTATAAAATTGGAAAACGATACCTTTCTTTCTTTAGTTCGTTCTATCATGTCTTTTAGTAACCTTACAACAAAAAAAGGCAATAAACATAAAAAGAATTGGATGTTGTTTGGAAAAGCTACAAGAATATCCAAAAGTATCTGCTGAGTATTGTTAACCTTTTGCAACAATTGCAGCAGTAGTAAAGAAACAAAAAAACAACAAAAGGAATATGAAGGCTAGTTGGCAACAATGTTCGTACATGCATGCAATATGTATGCAACGATATGGTGCAGTGGGGTCAAGGAGAAAAATTTTAGTTGCAAGGACCGAGTTTGATTGATAGCATTGATTTGAATATGTCTATCTATCTGTCTGTCTATCTATCTATCTATCTATCTATCTATCTATCTATCTATCTATCTATCTATCTATCTATCTATCTATCTATCTATCTATCTATCTATCTATCTATCTATCTATCTATCTATCTATCTATCTATCTATTCTATATCTATCTATCTACTATCTATCTATCTATCTATCTATCTATCTATCTATCTCTATCTATCTATCTATCTATCTATCTATCTATCTATCTATCTATCTATCTATCTATCTATCTATCTATCTATCTATCTATCTATCTATCTATCTATCTATCTATCTATATCATCTATCTATCTATCTATCTATCTATCTATCTATCTATCTATCTATCTATCTATCTATCTATCTATCTATCTATCTATCTATCTATCTATCTATCTATCTATCTATCTATCTATCTATCTATCTATCTATCTATCTATCTATCTATCTATCTATCTATCTATCTATCTATCTATCTATCTATCTATCTATCTATCTATCTATCTATCTATCTATCTATCTATCTATCTATCTATCTATCTATCTATCTATCTATCTAATCTATTCTATCTATCTATCTATCTATCTATCTATCTATCTATCTACTATCTATCTATCTATCTATCTATCTATCTATCTATCTATCTATCTATCTATCTATCTATCTATCTATCTATCTATCTATCTATCTATCTATCTATCTATCTATCTATCTATCTATCTATCTATCTATCTATCTATCTATCTATCTATCTATCTATCTATCTATCTCTATCTATCTATCTATCTATCTATCTATCTATCTATCTATCTATCTATCTATCTATCTATCTATCTATCTATCTATCTATCTATCTATCTATCTATCTATCTATCTATCTATCTATCTATCTATCTATCTATCTATCTATCTATCTATCTATCTATCTATCTATCTATCTATCTATCTATCTATATCTATCTATCTATCTATCTATCTATCTATCTATCTATCTATCTATCTATCTTATCTATCTATCTATCTATCTATCTATCTATCTATCTATCTATCTATCTATCTATCTATCTATCTATCTATCTATCTATCTACCTATCTATATATCTATTTATATCTGTTTCTCTCTCTCATATCTGTTTCTCTCTCATATCTGTTTCTCTCTCTCATATCTGTTTCTCTCTCTCATATCTGTTTCTCTCTCTCATATCTGTTTCTCTATCGCATATCTGTTTCTCTATCGCATATCTGTTTCTCTATCGCATATCTGTTTCTCTATCGCATATCTGTTTCTCTATCGCATATCAGTTTCTCTATCGCATATCAGTTTCCCTATCGCATATCAGTTTCTCTATCGCATATCTGTTTCTCTATCGCATATCTGCTCCTCTCCAGCGCATATCTGTTTCTCTGTTTTGAACCACTGTGCCAAATTCCTACATAAACGTATGAATGTTTGCTTCTTAGTCATTTCAAATAAACATTTCTCATCTCAATCTCCTATGAAATTGTATTTAAGAGACAGACTAAATGTGAAACTTAAAATTAAAAGGGGTTGCCACATTTAGGAAAGATAAAAATATACCCTAAAATTTACTAAAAATACAATAATTTTTTAAAGATCTATAGATTTGTCTAGTTTTTAAAAGAATAAGTAAAAAATCCTTTAACACTTTTGCCTTGCAAAATGTTAAAAATTCTTACAACCTGGCAACACTTTGCAGTTTAAATAAAAGTTACGTTCACTTTTTGTGCTGCAGTTGGCTTTGTTACTTACTATGTATGTGACACAATTCTTCTTTTTTTGTATCTTTTTTATGTTTTCATTTTAGCAGCCAGAAAAATCGAAAAAAATCGACATAGAGAACTTAACTTGCAAAGAGAAGGGGATAAAGAAACGACATTTTGTTACGTACAAAGTTATCTGTTGACAGTTAATTTTACTGAAGAAACTGCATTCTTGATGTATATTTCTTGTTTCTTTCTTTTCACATTTCTTTTATTTGCTATTTTCAAAATACACATTAATCGTTCATTCATTCATTGAATACGAAACGATTGATCAGCAGCATTTCAAACAAGAAAATCATTTAAAGTAATTATTTTTGTCTCATTGTTGATAGATAGTTTTTTCTTTCATTTCTTCGTCTTATTGTCTATCTTGTCATCTGTTGTAATCTTGTGATATTGAAACTTATTTTCTTTTTGCTACTACTACAACTTTTCTTTCTTTTTTTAATACAATTTTCTGTAATTTTTAATACTTCCTGTTTGCTTCTTGGCAAGCTTTTTCAATACTAAATGAAAAAAGCAATAATTTTCCATTAAATCCATTACATGATGCATCATGCATGAATTACTGCAATATAGTTATCATAATTTATGTTTATTATTGCAACAAATTACAGATTTGTTGTCTTTATCTTTTCCCATAGTTTGAGGATTTAAAGCATTAAATCTTCTTATCTTCTTCTTATATTTGCTAACATTGAGATGAAGTCATTGGCTCAGAAATCAAGTTAAAAATTTTTCATAATATATTATATTCGTCGATGTAAAATGTTATTTACCCACCATTGTAAATATAAAATGATTTTCGGAAATTTTTCATTATGAATCAGTTCTTTGGAAATTTAGTTAATATTTCTGTCGAATTTGCAAAAAATAATCAAAAAGGAATTCTCCAAAAAGTAGCCTTCTAAACTGTATTGCTTTAATATAACAACACTAACAAACTTCAATAGTCAGATTAACGTAAAGTTTAACATGACAAAAACAAATAGGCGGAAAAAGGCGTGGCATTCATATATGTAATACCTCCGTCTTTCCTTCCACACTAAACTTATTACTATGCAAAAGTTCTTGTCCTTTAACGTCATAAAATCGCTTCTGCGGTTTTATTTGCACATTTTATAAAATCGCGCGCTAGCAACAGTTTCGCACACCCACAGAATTAAAACAGTTTTTCTGCATGAAACCCATTATTGGACGCATATACCATAACTAAGCAATGGTGTTGTGCATAGGAAAGCGAATTAACGAACAAGGTTCGTATTATGCGTGAGAAATGTTTTTGTTTTAAAAAACAACTTTTTAACCCCTTATATGTAAGTACTTATTTAAGTAGTTATTTGTTAGCGAGATTGTTAAGTACTAGCAGCGAATGTCATTAAAATAATGAGTTAAAATTCTAATGAAGAAGTATCAGAAAAAACTGCGATCGTTTATCAGATGTATTAGCATTTTTTAGGATTTAAATTTTTAAACTGCTCAATTTAGTTTTCTTTATTCAAAGGAAATATCGACTATAAAGCTAAAAAGAAAAAAGAAGTTTGTTGTAGTTCATCTATACAAAGTTCAGAAACCAGCATGCATTGGGATAACAGGTGCTCTAAGAACTAGTCCTTCAGAAGCTCTGAAAACTATATTGCACATCCTACCTATAGATCTGCACATAATGGCCATATAAGCTTGCAGCGCAGCAAGGCTCAACTCATCCGCAAGTTGGATATCAAGAACATATGGACACGCTAAGTTTTTTTTTTTTAGGTATATCCTCAAATCTTGAACCAATCATCCGACTATATTACCCCACACACCGACTTTGATAGCGTTTTCAAAATCAGAGTTCCTTCCGGGAGTGAGTGGTGTAGGTGTAACCTGTCGGTTCTGGTGTCTTCTGCGAAGAAGCTGGGGTAACGATAACGTCAGCTTGTAGGGTACTACATTATCTCAATATTCGGGGCAACATAGGAATTTTTGTCAATAGTCAAACGGCACTTCTCTCTCTAAATTCCTTCTACCACTTCCTTATTAGTCAGACAATGCAAGAATGATCTGTCAAGGCTGGGTCGCTTGTCTGACATTACCCTTTTTTTGGGTCCCTGCGCTTAGGGACTATTATG